TAAGGTATATTTGAAGGGTATTCTAAGGTATATTTGAAGGGTATTCTAAGGTATATTTGAAGGGTATTCTAAGGTATATTTTAAGGGTCTCCTAAGATATATTTGAAGGGTATCCTAAGGTATATTTAAAGGATATTCTAAGATATATTTGAAGGGTCACCTTAGGTATATTTGAAGGGTATCAAGATATATTTGAAGGGTATCCTAAGATATACTTAAAATATACCCTAAGATATATTTGAAGGATATCCTAAGATGTATTTGAAGGATATCCTAAAATATATTTAAAGGATATCCTTAGATATATTTGAAGTATATACTTAAGATATATTTGAAGGATATTCTTATATAAATTTTAAGAATATCAAAGCATATTTGGAGGGTATCTCAAGGTATATTCCAAGGTATATCCCAAGGTATATTCCAAGGTATATTCCAAGGTATATCCCAAGGTATATCCCAAGGTATATCCCAAGGTATATTCCAAGGTATATTCCAAGGTATATTCCAAGGTATATTCCAAGGTATATTCCAAAGTATATTCAAAGGTATATCCCAAGGTATATTCCAAAGTATATTCCAAGGTATATTCCAAGGTATATTCCAAGGTATATTCCAAGGTATATCCCAAGGTATATTCCAAGGTATATTCCAAAGTATATTCAAAGGTATATCCCAAGGTATATTCCAAGGTATATTCCAAGGTATATTCCAAGGTATATATGAGTGTAGGGAGCTGAATAAGTCTGCTACAGTTTAAAAAGAATTTACAATTATATTACTCCTTGTAAACTTGAATACCAGGATATCGTGGGAACACAGATTTAAACTTGTCTATTTTAATACTTCATATTAGTACAATATAATATAAGTTTCAACACCTCTTATAATATTTTTTCACTTTTAAATTTTCAATACATGGATACACACATCTTTAATACATGGATACACACATTTTAATACATGGATACACACATCTTTAATACATGGATACACACATCTTATGAGACTTTTATGACAACCTGAAAGTAAAGTTCGTATATAGTTTGTGTGAATACAAATAATTAAAATTAAAAAATATCTAAGAAAAAAAAGAGGATTAAATAAATCTGAATGATCCTCTCTATTTCACAGTTTAACGGATACAACTGTATAAACACTGTACAATGTACACAGTACACTGTACAATGTACACAGTGCACTGTACAATGTACACAGTACACTGTACAATGTACACAATGCATGCAGTATATATAATCTAACGGTAACCGCCAAAAAAGTTCTCTGTAAAATGTTTTCAGGAATAAAGTTCTAAATAGCACTAAAATAGGATCCTAGGACTTCGTGTACTTTGTACACTAAAATAGGATCCTAGGACTTCGTGTACTTTGTACACGTTGTCACATAGAAAGACACTACCTTTGTTCGCTTCCCCCTGTGGGGGGGCGGGGAGGGTGCATCATTCACATTTTATTGTAAGTATATTTATGCTCCACATTTCTCCTGTCAGGGTCAAGTGTAATTTTCCTTTCAAGAATTATCAAGAGTAAGGAAGGTTGACAAAAGCTCTTTTGGCTTTTCACTGTGATCTTGTCAGGCTACTTTTGTTGTTGCAGAAAACGTGCTGGGTCGAGGCAGTTCAGACTGGACAGTGCGAATTAATGCATGTACAGTACATTTGGACCGGTTTGGATCATGCAAGGATTATAAGCAATTAGGAGAACATTGTTTACATCGAGGTTATGATGCAAGGAAAGTTAATTGCATTTGCGTATACTCTGCGTACATATTGAAACCAGTTCTCTCTGGGCGGAATTTGTAAACAAGAATAGATGCATCATGCATCAGTGTTCGTTTAGTATCAGAGTAGGTTAAAAGCATTAAATTTTGATAATTTTGAAAATTTACATTATAGTTTCCCATGACCAGAATATTTCATTGATTTTTTATGTGAAAGATGGATCCCATTTCAGGTTTCGACAACCGTCTTGTGTTTACATTACCGCCCAAGGGCAGTACACTGCAGTACAAAAGATGCGTACACCTCTGAAATAACTTTCCTTGCATTATAATCTTGGTTTACATGGCCAATTTGATATAGCTTGGTGGCTGGTGCATGCTTCGACAATTTGTGCTCTTGTCACTTTGTGTTCACCTAGAATTCAACATTTTCAATTGTGAAAATATCATATCATGTCGAGTTAGGTTAGGCCCTCTGTGGCGCCACAAGCATCAAAAAGCGCCATACAGGTTCAGGGGCCGAGCACTGCAACTGCATTACCCGAATTTCAGATTATTAATGTAAAACAAAACAAAAAATAATAAAAATTAAATTTGACTCCAGATGCGAAAATGTATTTTCCCTACATTTATCGATTTTATGTTCATTGTACAATACATATACTCTATAGATATCTACATATTTTAATATTTTGGTTTTCTTTGTATATATACATAGACTCCGAATAGTTTTAAACCTTTAATCCTATTTTGAACCACTATGTATTGTTTGTAGGGGGGGGGGGGTCGACGGCAGGGTAACGGGGGGGGAGCCCCCTTAAAATCTACAGGTTTGGATCCTTGTATCCAACAAGGGGATTACAGGGGTCCAGGGGAGAATTTAATTGTTTAAACCAATTCCAGGGTTTCATTTTGTCCCCAGAATTCCAGGGTTTCAGTTTGCCCCTGGATTTCCAGGGTTTCATTTTGTCCCCGGAATTCCAGGGTTTCATTTTGTCCCGGAATTCCGGAGTTTCATTTTGTCACCGGAATTTCAGGGTTTTATCATGTTCCACGGAATTCCAAAGTTTCATTTTGTCACCGGAATTCCAGGGTTTTATTATGTCCCCGGAATTCCAGGGTTTCATTTTGTCACCGGAATTCCAGGGTTTCAATTTGTCACCGGAATTCCAGGGTTTCATTTTGTTACCGGAATTCCAGGGTTTCATTTTGTCTCCGGAATTCAAGGGTTTAATTTTGGTTGAAGGATTGTAGGATTGAAGGATTGGAGAGATAGAAGAATTGAAGAGTTAAAGAGATAGACAGATTGGAGAGATTATAGCATTTGAAGGATTGAAAAGATAGAAGAAGAATTGGAGAAATTGAAGGATTGGATATATTTGTTGATGGAAGTATAAGATAGATTGAAGGATTGAAGGATTAAAGGATTGAAGGATTGAAGGATTGAAGGATTGAAGGATTTATTGATTGAAGGATTGATTGATTGAAGGATCAAAGAATTGAAGGATTAAAGAATTGAAGGATTGAAGGATTGAAGAATTGAAGGATTGAAGGTTTGAAGGATTGAAGGATTGAAGAATAGGTGAATTGAAGGATTGAAGGATTGAAGAGTTGAAGGATTGAAGGATTTAAGAATTAAAGGATTCAGGGATTTGAGAGATTGGAGTGAAGTATGGATTTTTGGTCTATCTATCTATTTTTCAATGCATCCATTTATCAATATCAAAATTTCTTGACCACCAAATCTATCTATAATCTATTTATCTAACATCTATCTATGATCTATCTATCTATCCAACTATCTATACTTACGTGATAAGAGGTTAGGTTTTATTGTTCGTATTGTGTGTAGTGTAGAGTGAAGTAAACCTTTCAGGACGGATTAGCAGGGTTTGCTTGAATACATATATAAGCAAACATGACAACTTTAATATCTGAATAGGTTCATTGATTTATCTTTCTATCTGTTTATCTATCTCTCTATCTATATATCTATCTATCTATCTATCTATCTATTTATTTATCTATCTATCCCTCTATCTCTCTATCTATCTATCTATCCAAATCTGTTATAAGAAAGAATTCAATTTTATTATATTATTATAAAGAAAAAATATAACAACTTGTGTAAAAGTTACTGAAGAAGCTACGGCTGAAGAAGCTACGGCTGAAGAAACTACTTATGAAGAAACTACTGATGAAGAAACTACTGATGAAGAAACTACTGATGAAGAAACTACTGATGAAGAAACTACTGATGAAGAAACTACTGATGAAGAAACTACTGCTTAAGAAACTACTGCTGAAGAAGCTACTGCTGAAAAAAACTACTGATGAAGAAACTACGGCTGAAAAAGCTACTGCTGAAAAAGCTACTGCTGAAGAAACTATTGGTAAAGAAACTACTGCTGAAGAAGCAACTGCTAAGATAAAATACTGCTGAAGAAGCAACGGCTGAAGAAACTACTGCTAAAGAAGCTACTGCTGAAAAAAACTACTGATGAAGAAGCTACTGCTGAAAAAACTACTGATGAAGAAGCTACTGCTGAAGAAAGTACTGAAGAAGAAGCTACTGCTGAAGAAGCTAATAAGGAAACTGCGGCTGAAGAAACTACTTCTAAAGAAACTACTGCTCAATAAACTACGGCTGAAGAAACTACTGCTGAAAAAACTACTGCTGAAGAAGCTCCTTCTGAAGAAGCAACTGCTGAAGAAGCTCCTACTGAAGAAGCAACTGCTTAAGAAGCAACTGCTGAAGAAGCTCCTACTGAAGAAGCAACTGCTAATAAAGCTACTGCTAAAGAAGCTACTGCTAAAGAAGCTACTGCTGAAGAAACTATTGCTGAAAAAGCTACTGCTGAAGAAGCAACTGCTAATAAAGCTACTGCTAAAGAAGCTACTGCTGAAGAAGCTCCTACTGAAGAAGCAACTGCTAATAAAGCTACTGCTAAAGAAGCTACTGCTAAAGAAGCTACTGCTGAAGAAACTATTGCTGAAAAAGCTACTGCTGAAGAAGCTACTACAGAAGAAGCTACTGCTGAAAAACAATTTTTTAAAACATCGATAAATTTCATCTGTCATCTAAATTGTAAAAGAAAATATATGAGCATTTAATGAGCTGATCCATCCAATCCATTTTATCCATTTAGCCGGCTCAAGATCTAGATTCTAGCATCAATTATTCAGATCACCATGAAAGCTAGATGATTTATGAACAATTACCCCTCTTAACCCCTCACTAACACAAACTAACCACCCCCTGCAACCTTCCCCCAACTTCTCCTCCTCTCTCTTCTAAAACCTAAACCTTCTGCACAAGGCCCCCTTCGGAACCAGGACCAGCTCAGTTATCCACAAATATCAGACTAGTTACAACATGAAATAGGAATATGCTCTGTTAAAAGTGAATTTTAACTAAACAAAGTGATTTTTATTCCTTCATTCAAAAATCTCCGAAATCAAGAGAAATCTCCGTCCTGGAGCCAAAACTACAGTTTGCCAGCTCTCTAGTACTCAGAATGGAACCCAGAGCTACACCTTGTTGAACGTTAAACCCGATTTTACCCACGCACCCTAGATCCAAGCAGTATCTATACCTTGATATCCAGGTTATACTCCGGAAATATCCAAGTGTCTCCATTATCTCCGAGAGCATGAGGGTTTAACCTCCATGCTGTCTTCAGTTATGAATCTTCTCCATTATATATCCTTCTCCCTGTATCTCGGCCTCGTGTCCTCCTGTGGACCAGGACGAGGTCCAATACGACGCCGGGGACCAAGGAAAATCCTTCCTCTTATTTATAAACAACATGAACCAAATTTTTCCGAAAGAGCGCTGGCCGCCAGCGGTCTCCCAGACGGGAAAATCTCCCGAGAAGATTCGGAATTCCGGAAACTTGTTCCGAATTATAATCCTGATATTATCTTCAAGGATGAAGAGGGGACAGGAGCGGATAGAATTATGACTCAGGTAAGCGCTGTTTCTTTGATCAAGGGTTGGAACAAAGTACTCTTTCATCTCTTAGTATATCTGGTACCTGGAGTTAAACCGCGTCTTGCAGTTGCAAAATGAGTGCAATCGTGCATGAGTTTCTTTTACTACTTTTCATTGTTTGATCGTATTTATTTTTTTATTTGTTTTTTTGTCTTCATTTATAGTTTGTTTCTATATTCTTTCCTTTTATTACAATTATTTTTGCTTTGCTCTGTTTTTGTATCTTTTCTCAAATATTTTTAGTTTATCTTATTTTTAATACATTTTTTCCCTTTTTAATTACATCCTTTATAGCAAAATGTTTTTTCTTCGTTTATTTCTTATTAATATTATTTCTTTGTCTTGTATCCTAATGTGAGTTTAGACATATTTTATATATTTGAAGAATGTAACGGGTTTGGTCTCTCTAGCTGATATTACCCTTGGTAATTGATATTTGAATTCTTCAAATTGGTTTCTTTCGACCCTCATTGCGTGACAATGCCCTTAACAAAACTTTTATTTCAGAGGTGTAAAGAGAAGCTGAACACCCTGGCTATCTCCGTGATGAACCAGTGGGCGGGGTTGAGGCTCCGCGTGACGGAGGGGTGGGACGAGGAGTCCCATCACACCAAGGACAGCCTCCATTACGAGGGCAGAGCTGTCGATATAACGACCTCAGACCGGGACCGGAGCAAGTACGGATTACTCGCGAGTTTGGCGGTTGAAGCCGGGTTTGATTGGGTTTACTATGAGTCCCGCTCCCACGTTCATGCGTCCTGTAGAGCAGGTCAGTATTTTATACAACCCGGAGACAAGACAAAGTAACGCCCAGGAATGAGGTTGAACCAATGTTTGAGGGTTGGGTGGGTGGGAGGGGTGGGAGGACAGTTTGACAGTTTCAACACAGTTTACGCGTATTCACCTCATTTACAATTCTAATTTTCTTAATATTTCAGAATCTGCTGAGCCAGGGAAGAATGCAGGTTGCTTCCCGTCCGACTCCAGGGTGAAGATTAGCACTGGAGAAACTATTCTCATGTCTCAGCTCCGGGTAGGAGATAGTGTACAGGCAGTCAACACTGCCGGAGAACTGGTTTACAGTGAGGTTCTCTTGTTCTTAGACCGGGACCCGGAGCAAGTTAAAACCTTCCTAAACCTGGAGACAGAGTCTGGATCCGTCCTTTCTCTCACATCTTCTCATCTGGTTCATGTCTCAACCTCTTGCACAGAGTTATCATGTTTTCAAGCAACCTATGCCGGGTCTGTTGAACCCGGACATTTTATCCTTGTATCAGAGAACTCATTGCACCCGGAGAAGGTTGTTAAAGTGAGCGTGAGTCGATTAAAGGGAGTGTACGCTCCCTTGACATATACAGGAACCCTAGTTGTAGAGAATATTGTAGCATCATCCTACGCTATTATAGATAATCAATCAATAGCTCATGCATCCTTTGCTCCGGTGCGCTGGGCGACCATATTAAAATCCAATCTTAAACATTTATGGGTTTCCATGTCGAGCTTATCTACAAGTGAACCAAGGACAGAGCGCTCCGTGCCACCTAATGGGGTTCATTGGTATGCAAATATACTGTACACGATAGCGGGGAACATCCTACCTAACCATCTAGTTTCATCTAGATAGTTCTAGATAGTTCTAGTAATGGATAAACTCCAACATACTTCCAGTGATATCTATCAGTGATTTAACAATATTTCGTCATTCCTCTCTCATTCGAGCAATGAGCAAAGAGTATTTAAAGGATCAAGAATTGAGTAAAGAGAAAGAAAAATTCCTGAACTCGGCTGTGATCTCTATAGTAGATATATGTAGCATGTTATCTAAAAATAAACTAATAAAGGATTACATATTGTTTACTTCACAAATATCAGTCAAGGCAAGAACTATCCCTGATTACGGATTCAATATTTGTTAAAGGAACTGCAGGAGAAGTTTCATGGAACCCTCAATTTAACAAGTGTACTCGATTCTCAACTGTACCCTTTTTAACAAAAAGATATTGTCGTTTTTCTTTCTATCTTGAAATTCTTTTTGTTAGAAAAGAAAATTCACAGATTTTAGATAAAATAAGAACGATATCTTCGTCGGTTTTGCTCAAACAAATGTTGAAATTACGTTTGGAGTTCCTTTACTGAATTTATATTAATCAATTATATTACATTGGCAATATTTTACTCAAATCTGAAATCATAAAATAAAAAAGAGGTTTTCCATGATAGTACAATAAGGGTAGATTTTGTCATACTTTTTTTGTCAGGGTCCTACAGGGTGTCCCACGAAACATGACAGTTGGTAAATAGTTTAGATTGTCTTCTTCCATAATTTGCTAAGTTGTTCAATAAAAATATTATAGAGGAGTCATATTATAGTAGAATTTATTTCAATGTAAAATATACTTAAGCAAAAGATTTTTTAAAAATAAACTGCAAACAGCCCTTAATATATAATACAGTGTATGGAAGACGTCATTCGAAACTATTTACCAACTTTCATGTTTCGTGGGACACCCTGTATCTTAATATTAATATAATTGTCATTATTATCTCGTTGCTTCGCATATCATGGTGTTATAAATTTATGAACATGAAAAGCAATTTTCTAATAAAATTTAGTTATAATTTCTTTTTTATATAGAAAACAAATTCTCCATTCAAATATTTGAGAAATCACCCCCGAGTACTGTAATATACAGATTGACCTTTGGAAGTGAAGTACATGGCCTGTACAATAAGTAAAGGATTAGCGTACATCATCACTCTATATATACACTATAACCTCGTTGGATCAACCATTAAAATTCATTTGTAAGCTTCTAAACTTGTGTATTTTACAAAACAAACGTTTCCTTCTTGAACTAAACATGGAAAAATATGGTGTTGCTTTTCCTGATCATTAACATCAACTAAATGCAAAACATGAAAAAGTTCATGAGTTGGTTAAAATTATAAGGGAAAAAGTAAAAGAGTTTACGTCACACAACTTAATATATTTTTAGATATGAATTAGCTTTAATAAAGGGAGTGACAGGCTAGACATGGTAGTTGAACTGAGAGTGCAGGATTGGAAAGATTTTTTTTATAGTTTTAAAAGCTTTAATAAAGAGAGTGTTCGCTCATTTTTAATATTTATAGATTCAAAAAAAATCTCTATCAAAATATGAAAGATTTGTGAAATAAACAGGATTGCTAATATTTACCGCAAATTGGTAAAAATTAAAGTAAGTTAATTTTAGCTAAAATAATGTAAGCTTTAAAAGATAACTCGTGCTTTGAAATCTTATGTGGAACCAAGAAAATTAGCTTTAATTGTTAAATAAAAACTATAGAGAAGTCATGAGGTCGCAAAGTACTCAAGTAATTCCGCATTTGAACCGTCTTTCTTATGTATAAACTAAAAACAGAATTTAAATGATCTTTCCAGAAACCTGAACTCAATACACAAAACCATCTCAGGTGTATATTTTTCCTTGTAAAGGTTATATAAAGAGTGCAGGGTGGTTTCCTCTAAGACTAGTCGTAAACCCTAGTTTTTACCCAGCAGCAGTCTAACGAGGGGAGAAAGGCCAGACCCGGCAATTTATTGTCCGAGCCACATTCTCCTCATTTACTCATCCGAGCCACCTCGAAATTCTCGTCCTTGTTACTGATAGAGATTTAAAGAACATCATTTTTAACAAGTATAAAAATTGTTGGGAAAATTTAGTATTTTATTTTTTGCCCTAACGTCGACAGATAATCAAAGTCATATTTTTATCTGCAAGGGTTGGAAATATAAAAAAAAATAATATTGGAAGGACGAGGATTTCGAGGTGGCTCGGACGATAAAATGAGGAGACTGTGGCTCGGACGAGATATTGGTTTGGTTGGCGCCTTCCGCCCCTCGTCTAACCAAACATTCACAAAATTACAGTAATTTCAATATTTACAATATTCAACATTTGTAAAGTGAATAGAGACCCCTCCCCTCTCTCTCACATAAAAAATTTCCGTAAAGTTTTCTAACAATATCCTTTTAAAGGAACTGTCCACAAAAATTCAAGTGATCCTTCATTTTACGGACTTTTGTGCGCACCAGAGAAATGGGAGAAAATTTAGAAAATGTAGTGCTTTAAATTGCCGGTCACTTCAAATAGATTATCAAGTACAATAGGTGACAACAGAGAAATGGATCAATTATACACGACGTCACAAGTGTCAAATATAACAAGAAAAATGAAATTTTCTCACATTAGTTGACATGTTTTCCAAAATTAAATAAAAAAGTGTAAAAACAGAAAATGAAGAACTCATAAAATCGCACATATTTTATTGTAAGGTAAGCATTTTGTTCTAAAATTATCACTATTTCTAATAATTTTATAAAAAAACTAAGTGACACTTGTGACGTCAGAAAACAGCTGTACTGAGAGTGTACAAATTCTACTGTGCTGCATCTATTGTACTGGAATCTATTTGGGGTCATTTAAAATTTTGTTGACAGTCCCTTTAAGGTTTTATTCTGCATTTTCATCTTGAACTTTGGAAATATATTCTATACAGGGTTACGTTAAGTTAAAGTAAATTCCACGTGAGATTGAAATATGTTTTCTATTTGAACTACTCGTATGGAATTAAACTATCAAGACGGAAAAAACTGTTTTAGATCTTGATATGTATTCGGATATGTACCCGGCACGTGGATTTAATGTAAAGTATAAAACAAATAAATCCGTAAGGTTTAATTACAGAACAAAACACGTAGGATTTCCTAAAGAAGAAACCGAATGCCTCTAACTCTGGTTAGTCCGGTGTGCCGGATATGTACCCGGGTATGTACCTGGATAAAACAAGTTTTCTCATAATCAAGCGTAAAATCACAATTAGAGGAGCTACGAGGTCATAAAGTGTCAAAGACCTTCTCCTTCTGTCTAGCTTATATTTGAAAATGAAATTTTTCCTTTTATTTCTTATCCGAGAGTTTTTACAGATAAACCATATATTTGAGATACTACTCCGAGCTACTTCTGTATTGGGTGTGTCTAAAGAAACAGATCTCAATTTTGAACTGATTTTCTTTTTTAGACATTACAAAAATGTCTCCACGTTTTCAGTTTCGGAAATCTTCTAATTCGTTTGGTGAAACTAAAAAAGCAGATCTCAATTTTGAACTGATTCTCTGTTTAGACATTACGAAAATGTTTTGAAATTTTAGTTTCGAAAATCTTCTATTTCGTTTTGACCAATTAGGACTAAAAAACAGAATATCTCTAAGATATTTTTCCCGTAACCAGCACAAGATGTATTCGGTTGCTTGTTTTTATGTTTTTCATTCAAATTCCGTCGTCTCAACAAGTACGAAAAAAAAAAAGTCAAGTTTAATCTGTAAAATTGTGTTTGAAAGTGTGACCTTGCTGGGAAAAGTGTGGTGGGGGTTCATTGTACTGTATAAAGTGTAATTGATCTATGATTCAGTGATTGATCTTTGATTGATTATATATCTCAGTTCAGAAGGATTTGATGGATTTAGATTTAAGAACACCTTCAATCAAAGACTTGTATGTATTGGACATTAGATGATAAATTCATCATAGAAATAAACCTATACAAATATATTTAAGATCTAAATTGATTTAACTTAAATTTAAAAAAATGTGTGATCATTTGTCACTGTATAACTAGTTAGGACGGGAAGGTCAAATTATTTGACATTACTGCTTATACTGGTACAACTTTGTGACCTAGTTTTGATTTTACGCACTTAAACATGAGGAGTGAATTGTCCTAGTATGATGAAGATAATTTATAAATTATTTAGAATATTGTATCAGGGATTCTGGTGTACTCTGTAGTCTGTAGACTACAAAAGAAAAAACCAAGAAATATTGACGAAGATCTAAATTTAGAGCCTTCCAGAAATATACCCTGTATCATAGAACCTTTCAGAGACACACATAAGTAATTCATTTTGTTCCTTCAAATTCAACAAATTTCAAGAAAATGGAGAATTATGAAAAAATATTTTGAAATTTCAATCTTACAGGGATTGGCAGTTTTGACTTTTAATGAAAAACGTTCGTGTTTTTTGTAACAATGAAAAAAATCTGAAAACGAAACGACACGATCGTTTGAAAACGTATAGTTTTTGAAAACTATCCATTTTGAAAGGGATGAAACTAAGTTATGTTAGTTTTTAAGGAGAAAAAACGAAATAATCGTTTTCAAAGCGATCGTTTTCAAAGGTTGAAAAACTATCTTGTTGGAATGACAACGATAGTTTTGATTGATCGTTTTGGAATAAAAACTACAAATTTAGTATATTTGAATGAAAAATAAAAATTTTAATCTACAAACCTCGCTTCGAACGAGAAAAATTTTTAAAATAAAGTTTAAACAAAAACGATAGTTTTCCTTCAAAACTATAGTTTTGTTCTTTCGTTTTTCGTTTTCATGAAAGCTTAAAACTAACAATTCGTTTTTTCTCAGAACGAACGTATCCAATATGATCCAAATCCTGACGGGAAAGAACGAGATCTTTTCCATACATTTCTGGGATATTATAAATATATTTCCTTACATTGGGCTTTAATCAAACGCAAAGAAATTGAGTCTTTGTCACAAATTCTGATTTTATAATCCCTATATCTTTGTAACCAAATGTCCTAGACCTTAGATATTTCAAACTATGAGTTCTGTTTGATCAAATAATCTAAGTTTGAAATGTCAAAGTTTTACACCAT